TTTTTTAATTAATATGTCTAAATAATAGATTAAAATTTTTGTTTTATTGTATTCGTTGTTTTTAGTATTATTCAAATTGTTTAAAATTATTACAAAAACTCCCTAGCAGTTAGCTAGCCTCTAATTGTCTTTTAAAGCTCTATGATCCTCATAAAGCTCCAATGCGCAAGTCCGAAATAAGCACAACTGCAAGTGCTTTAGCTTAAATGTCAACCCAAACGAAAGTTAAAAGCTATAGAGCTTTACTGAGTTTACGTAGTTGTGCGAAAAAAAAGCTCAAACTGCATTTATTGGTACTTACCATATATACATATGTATATTTGTATAGATAAATGCGTATGTATGTATATATAATATATGTCTATGTTATCTCGCCCCATTTGCCGTTATCAGCAAAAGAATTGGTTAAAAAAAAATACAAAAGTCGAAAGATAACAATAATTTGGAGTGTGTGTTGAAATGGAATTAGAACTGGAATGGATCGGCAACGGCTAACGGCTACCTGTTGCTAAAGACGACCAGTTAGCGAGCAACAGTCGTGGCAAACGGTTTACATCGAGTTTACGTAGAGCCCAGAACAAAACCAAAAACTAACCCAGAAGAGCAAATTCAATTACAAAATGCAAACCCATAAACTGAGCATTCTGATTGCTGCGCTTATCGCAATCAGCCATTATAAAGATGTAGCGGCACTGAGTAAGTTATTGTATGGTATATCACTATATCAACTTGTAAACATATGGATCAATCGATCAATCTTAAATATATATGTATATATAAATATTTTGATTGTTTCTTACAGCATGCAGCACGGGTTCGGGCACATCCCAAGCCTGTACAGATGCTCTAGCCGAATGTTTTGTGAAAACAGGTAAGATACACTCGCTGGGACCCATGAATCATCCACAATTGGGATTGGCGTACACACAACTGTATATGGTTACAGATAATTTAATAGTTGGCTTACCAAAGTTCTTTATTGGACAAAGCTTACTCGGAGCACTTATCTGCAGCCAGGTGGACATGCGATAAGAAATGTATTTTCATATACAATACATTTTTGCACCTACAACGATGAGTGTGTTCACAATTCATTATTGATCATTAAGCCGCTAGTTTAAAACGTAATTGACTTTAAAATGCATCCATTGAAGAACACTGTGTTAAATGTTTTAAAAATTTGATATGGAACAAAAAATGTGAGACTGTTTAATTAGTATCTACAGAGTATTTATTTATACTTTTAAATATAATTCCTAAATTCCATAATTCGTAGCTCTGTAGCTCCCTATAATCTCACTATAAAGAGATAAGGGAAGGATTCTTTCTGGAACTCTAGCAGAGCGCTCATATGTCGAATAGTTTTTATCAATATTTAAAAAGAAGGTTAAAGTTAAGAATATAAATTTGCAACTTTAACACTGCATGGACATTTTGGTATAAAACTAAAATGTTTATCGTGACTGACTTTGGGCTATGTGTATGTATTTATGGTATTCCTATATGGAATTCTTTATAAAACTTGAAACTATTGCAAATATTCAAAATGATACTGACGAAAGTGTAAGTGATAGGCATTTCGTATATCTGAAGTATATATAATCCTAAAGAAAGATCACTGACAGCCACTCAACGCTTGCTTGCTTTTTGCAGATAATGGTGTTGTGACGCGTGGCTGTACAACGGACCCCGCCTGTGCCGCGCCCAACTGCTTGAAGTGCAAGACGGACAACTGCAATGCGGCACTGATGTGCAAGCAGTGCGATGCCACCCAATCGGATTGCGGCAGGACGACTGGCGCGAACTCATCTAATGTGATATGCGGGTCGCCCACACAGCAGTGCGGGACACAGTTGCAGTCGAATGGTGCAGTGGTGCGTGGCTGTTTGAACTGTGCTGCGAATGATTCCAACTGCAAGTCCTGCGCAACGGATAACTGCAATGTGGGCATCTTTCCGGAGAATCGTCAACTGTGCTACCAGTGCAGCGGCGAGTCCTGCAGCAACTTGGACAACAGCACCATGCTCCTGGGCTGTGCGATCTATCAGGCGACAGGACAGAAGTGCTATACGATCGGCACCAGTGCGACCAATATGCAGCGTGGCTGCCAGTCGGACACGGCGGCGGACAACAAATGCTCGGCCACCTCAACCGATCCCAGCTGCCTATTCTGCGACAACGAGAATGGCTGTAACAACAGGCCGTATTCACGTGTCCTGGGCAGCTGCTACAAGTGCAATGACAGCGACAAGTGCCAGCTGCAGCAGGAGGCGAGCACGGCAACTGAATGCGCAGCGGCCGTCTATACCCAGAACGTGAACAGTTGTTATACTCAACTGCTTGCCAATGGTGTCGTGGCACGTGGCTGCACCAATGAGCTGGCTGCCGGATGCAATGCATCCAACAATTGTGATGCATGCGAGGGCAACAACTGCAACGCGGCCGTAGCCGTATTCAAATGCTTGATCTGTCGGAGCGACTACTATGCGCCCTGTCGTGAAGCAGAGGTCGGACAGGAAAATTGTCCAGCCTCCAGTCTGACTGGACCCGATGCGATGAAATGCTTCAGTGGAGAGTGGGGTGAGTGCGGAGATAAGAGATGCGTTTTGAAATAGACTAAGGGATACACTCCAAGATCAAATCTACTCTAAATAGATTCAAAGTACATTTAGAAAACATAGAGAAAAATATGTCTAATAGATACAATCTGTGATAAATTTACAAATACACTCTGAGATACTATGTAAAGTATACCAAGAGAGAGAAGGAGATGACACTTAAAAGACTTCTATATTGAAAGACAAAGATAAATATACAGAAATACTACTTAAAACCATATGCTCTTAAAGATACATTTAGAACTACATTCATCGTTACTTTTCGAATATAGGTTGTTAAAATTAGAAATAGAGACACATTTATAGGTATTGAGAAAACCTTTAAAAAAAAATAATCATAGATAGATTTAGACATGAGACAGGCATGTAGATAAGCTCAGATACACTCTGAAGCATGCATTCTGAATTATCTAAAAATATGTCTATAAGCCTCATAGATATTCATCCACATTTCCAAACACAGAAACCTCAATGTTTCATTTCGCAATGAAATAGATTTGACTTCCAATTAGCTTAAACTTTTTTATAATGCATGTATATAATCATATAAATTACTTATCTTATCGTTGTAGATGGAGTCGTAATTCGCGGCTGCCTCAGCGAGGCGAGTGATGTGATGAAATACCAGTGCTCAAAAGACAGCCCCTCACGCTGCACCGAATGCAGTGGCATGGGATGCAACGACATTTCATACAATGTAGCCGCCACATTGCAGCAAATGGCTCTGTCCTTGTTCGCGCTGATCTGCATTGTGCACAAATATATCTAATTTGAATAGAGCAAACCAAAGCCAATTATATGACAAACAAAAAAATACATATACATATATACTACTTATAAATCAAATCGGTGCGGCCCATGCTACTTATGAGTCATTCATGAATCATTATTCACAGACCTCCCTAAAGGCCCTCTAGATAAAAAGTAGGTAATTAGGAAGTTAAAACACTTGACAAACTCTCTAAAATGTTGTATAGATGTTAGAAAATTGCTTTCCTTTTTATTTGATAAACAAATTGAAAATTAATAAATTTATTAAATAAATTCTAATAAACAAATTTATAAAACAAGGAAAGAATCATTATTTTTGTTGTATTCATTAAAATTGATGAATTAAAAATATTTCAGAATTTCTTTAAATCCATTTCAGTTATTAAACATAATTTATTAGACTGTTGATAGCAAATGTTTTTGTTATCAATCATTGTTAAAATGTTACTGATACTGCATGCTTATATACTATATATAGAGCAAAAATTGATAACTTAAAATTTTTGCTCATGTGAATGTTGATATAGATGGAAAAGTTTCTTAAGATTTATTTCCTGCCTATACAACATATGCAAGGCGACTTCATTATCTCTCTAATTAGTCGAGTCCTAACCCAATAGAACTGTTACACATAGACTCAAGATCGTTAAACTGGCCAAAAGCTCAGCTGCACCAGCGTTTGGTGCTAGATCCGAATTGCAGAGTGAACTATTGCAAAACTGGCAGAGTTTCGTTTCCTTGCGACAGTACTTGTCTCCTTCCTCCGCGAGATCTGCCGAACAGCCGCGCATAATGAGCTGCGTATCACCTGGAAGAAACCGTAAAAATCATTGAAAAAAAAAGCACAGCCATTCACAGGAATGTAACAATACTATATACATATGCTTAATATTTTTTAAATACTTATATATGATATATAGTATGTGGTTATATTCCTAATGTCCACTCTTGTGTAGCTCTTTCGAGTCTCAAAGATCTAGAATTTCTGGTCAGAAAAGTCCGTCAACAGAATCGAAAGCACAAACAAATATAGTTAAAGCAGCAAAACTCTAGCATCAATAGATATAGAGAGAGGTAAACAACAAACATAAAATATACTCTTTACTCTAACCAGTATAAATGCAATGATTTAAAATCTATGCTAAGAAAAGCTTAATAAATAATAAAATAACATAATAATAATTTCAGATTTACTAACGTTTGTAAAGCGTATAGCAGCCGCTGCGTTTGCCGTTGAGTTGGCAATTGAGCTGCTCTTTTGGGTGATCCAAACAGCTTCCGTTCCGATAGCTGGAGCAGCTGTAGCAGGATTTGGGCAGCACGGGCAATGGGATGTTCACTTGTTTCACAGGCTCTGTGGGCGCTGGGGCTAGAGGTTGTTCCGGTGTTGGAGGATTGGCTAATGCTGCTCCTTCGTCCTGATAATCGTGTTCCTTTGACATGTTCTCTTTCTCGTTTTCCGCTTCGGCTTCATTTTCAGCTTCCTGGGATTCCTTCGACTTGTCTATATCAGTTGCCGGTTCCGGCGGTTTAAATGGAATATCGAGGTGTGGTTCCTTATCCGGCTCAGCTTCAGCTTCAGTTTCCGTTTGCTCTGTGGACGTGTGATCCATTGGATTTGCTGCCTCCGGCTCAGTTTCCTTATCAGTTTCCATTTCAGTTTCAGTTCCTGTTTCTGGTTTGTCCGTAGCTGCTGCCGGCTCAGGCTCGTTTTCTTTCTCTTGCTGTTCCATGGATTTAACTTCGATTTCATTATCAGTTTTCGGATTTAATTCAGGATCTGGTTGCTGTTCCTTGGATCTGTCTTCCATTGCCTTATCCGACTCTGTCTCCACTTCTATTGTAGGGCTAACTTGTAGCCCTGTAACCATGTCCACATCTTGGTGCACTTCCTCCTCGTCCTGCTCCTGCGCCAGACTCCCATGCAGCAGCAGCAGAAGCAGCCAACACAGAAACTTCACATTCATTGTCAATTTGGCTAATAATGAAATTATTGTTCAAACGGGTGTTTAAGTGGCTTATCAAAATCGAATTTTGTTTGCCGATTCGCTTGGGATGCACTGAGAGCTTTGCAAATAGCCCAATAGCCAAATTGCATGCGCAAATTAAATTTGATTGTCGTTTGTCCGTCTGTTCCAGTCCCGTTGCCGACGCGGCCGCAACTGAAGCAAGGCCATTAAATTGCTGGCCATATGTCGCTGATAGTCACGCAATTATCCGACTCTAAATTAAATCGATACATGACAGTCGACCCATTTAACTAACCAGCTACCACTCGACCTTCCCAGCCAACCTATCCCATTCCCCATTTAATCGCTCCGTTTCTTCCTGAATAATTGATCATGTGAACTTTGAACAAAGCTGAAGCCATGTGCTCCACAACAATATAGTATCCAAACATGTCCAAATGATATGTCTATTTAGCATTCGACCTAGGACATCTGCGTCGAATCGCAAGGTCAATATGCAAGTCCAACCCAATCCAAAATGCCTATTATATATAATAAATATATATATAATCCACTATAAATATGAGAGGCTATTTGACTAATTGAATTTGTATTATAAGCTAGGAAGCTATAGTGTAATTAATACTTATATATGTACATATATACTATAAAAATAGGTCTTTCAAAACCCTTTAATGATTACAAATTTAATACAGAGTGCTAATTAAAACTGCATCAGCCTACATAGCCTTACTATGCGATTCTCAGGTATTTAATTATAACCTACTAAACGCTCAAGTTCCATGCTTATAACAAAGCCACAAACAAAAGAAATTTTTTATTTTTAGCTATTTCCCACCTCTCTGATTCTCATGAATTCAAATTAGTCGTAAGATCGTGCGTGTGCTGATAAGAATTTCTATACATATGAACACATTTTATTGAAAATGTATATTTCCATTATGACATTTTCTCATTGGGAATGATAATTTAGTTGAACTATAACAGATATTACCATATACCGATTATAGACCCAGTTTTACATGTTTCGTATCCTAAATGAGTATATTGGCTTTTCTCAATACCCGTTTTGCTGATTTTCATTGCTCCATTTGAATGCAAACAATTAAGATATTCTCGATCCGAACTACCTATTATGTATAAAGGTAGCATTTTGTGGGGTCTGGTTTGTGAGAAACAAAGTGCTAAATAGATACATATATATGTCAATAACTGCAGATGCGCGAATAGATTAGAATTCTACTTATGATCAGAACTTTATGTAGTCCAAACAGAGTTCAACTGTTTATAGAATGAATGTAAGATTTTCCCTTAACTTTATTAAAAATCCCCTGGATTTAATATGAAAAAACCTATTATCTATGCTCTGCATTGCATTATATCATTTGCAATTCTCAGACGATTTAAACAAAACGTAATATATTTACAGTCAATACCCCTTTAACGACCACAGTGTGGATGACCATTCTTCTTAAGCTCTTAGCCACAAATAGGGCTTATCCGTATCTCTGTATCAAGCTGATAAAGGCCTTTGTTCTATTGCCCAGTGATAAGCCATAAAACGGATCTCAATTGTCAATTGTACAGAAGCAATTTGACCAAAGGCTGGTGCAGTACATGTCGTAATGAGCCAACCGTCTACTAACCACCTGCTGATCCACCTGTCCGGGCATTCGCTCTGGCTTTGGCTCTGGCTGTGCGGTAAATGTTGCAGCTAATGCTTTTCCAATAATGCGTTAATCATAAATATTTCATAGGCCTCGCTCTGCAGCCAGCTAATGCCATTGTGTGTTATCATTGCGATTCTATCGCTCTGCCCGAATGTGCCCAGACCCTGGGAGAGGTGGATGTATTGCCCTACAAAGAGTGCACCACGGAGTTGACCTGCGCGATGTCAATAGGTGGGTAATGCATTACTATAAGCCACGCTTTAAAGATAGATAAATGGAATGAGTTCTCGAAAACAAGTTAATTATACTGCAATTGGAATACAACTTCAAATCTCCATGTGTACATATACATATACATTTTCACATACATTTTCACATTGTACCCTATTTGAATTTTGCAGTCGATTCGATAACGTATCGTGGCTGTGGTGCAGAGACGCCCACCACAGAGGCCACCTATGCCAAGAGGTGCTCCAGCAATCTGTGCAATGCTGGCGTCTATCCACCTGGACGACTCAAGTGTCATCACTGTGCCGGCGAGGGCTGTGTTGGGGCGCCAGCAGGCAAGCCTCGGCCCTGCCGCTATCATCACGAAGAGGATCAGTGCTATACGGAAATCGTGAGCTCGACAATGGCCTATCGTGGCTGCAGCTCCGATACGAATCACACGGCAGCTGCCACAGCCCAGCTATGCGAGATTAATGGCTGCAATGATGCACTGGGCGCCTGGACGTTGAGGTGCGCCGCCTGTGACTCACTCAAGGCACGCGGCTGTAAAATGGATCTCTTTCAGCTGGGTAATCGCTGCAATGTCAGTCAGTTCGAGCAGTGCGAACAACAAATGCTACTTGGCCACGAGCAGGAGCAATACTGCTACACGTACAGACAGCTGGGGCGAGTGGTGCGTGGCTGTGCCGCCGAGCTGCCTAAGGAATTGGAATCACAGCGCGCACAGCTGGAGACATGTGCTAGCGGCGACAATTGCAATGCCGGCTGCTTGCCTCAACAGCGCTGCCTCAGCTGCAACTCATTGGAGAAAGAGACATGTCGCAGCAATGCCACGGCTTTGATAAGCCAGGTTTGCGGCTCGGCCGAAGCATCGTCTTGCTATACCTGCGAGTACACCAATGGGCAGCTGAAACGAGGCTGTGGTGCACCACCAACTGATCCACAAATCCTCGACTGCTACGAATGTGATGAAAATAGCGATCAGCAGGCTTGCAATTCCCGAGACTTTACGCGCTGCTATCGCTGCAGCAGTGACAATTCGGCGGGCTGTGCCAACTGGGAGAAGCCGGGCGGCATTGATATAGAGCAATGCACAGAGCCCGCAGCACCCTGCCTGGTGGTCAACTATATCAATGGCACCACCGAGCGTGGCTGCCAGCGCACAGATTTCAATTGTGATGGTCCTGCCGTTGCCAGTTGCCGCAGCTGTGAGGGCAGCTTCTGCAACAAGGGCGCTTATCCGGAGCAGCGTCTGTGGTGTCATCAGTGCAGCAACTGTGAGCAGGTGCAGCGTGGACAAGATGCAGTGCCCTGCGGACTGTTAGCCAACGAGCCGACAGATCAGTCAGCCGCGTGCCTGGAATACTACGATCCATTTAGTAAGCAGGTGCGGCGTGGCTGTCGCTCCAATGGACAACTCTACTACGAGTGCATGCTGCGCGCTGGTGGACAGGCGGGCTGTCGTCTATGCCAGGATCATGGCTGCAATGCAACGCCCGGACAACAGCTGCGCGGAACTCTGCAGCTGTCGGATTTTCTTGGCCAGCTTAAGCAACAAGAGCAACTGCTGGATCAACTGGTACAACTAGAACAGGCTGAGCAACAACAGCAGGTGAAAAACTTGGAACCGGTAGAATAGCTGAGAATGATCTTCACAGTTAGCCAAGCGACTCACAACTAAAATAAACATTTTAAATTGGATTAGCATAATTTATGAAAAAATTGCATTACACTAGACATTTAAACCGGCTACAAATGAACATTTAGTTAGCGCAACTATTGCTGTGAATCTGGTTCGTTGAGTCGCGGCGGCTTGTAGCCGGGACTCAAAGCGCGACCGCGATGATTGAATGTGTAGAATGATGGAAAGTTGCCAAGAGTATCCCAAGTCTTCTGCTGCATGTCCACGGTAGCGCGTATCTCCTTGAAGTTGCCCACGATTTGAATAATATTATAGACAACGACCACCAGGCTTATCACCGTTTGCAAAATGATCTATATAACATAACATAAAAATAAGTCAAAAGATAAAGCTCATCAGTTCTGTACGTACATCTAAAGGCAGACTGGTCCACTCCTGCTCTGTTAGCCGCAAATAGGTGCGATCTGTAAGATATAAAAATTAAAATTTAGTCGTCTATTCGTGCAAAGGTTGACAGGATTTTTTTACTTACGATGTGCGGCTGAAAATGCGGCATGCGCCAAGCTAGCAAAGCCAGCAATTAACAGTAATTTGTTCAGAAATTTGCTGCCCATTTTAATACCTTGTTTAATTGATCAAATTTACAAAATACGTTCGAGTGACTTGTGAAAATTGACTGCAATTGAAATTAAATTATAAATTTTCAGCTACACGTGAATGTCTTCCTCTCCAGCTGTTTGCCATTCAGCTGTTAACGTTGCTGGCCTTGCCATATCTGTCTATTTACATAGCAATACCATTCACAATAGAATACAGCTAACGCTCGGGTGCGTCTCTCAGCTTGCTTTGCCTTTCATTCGTATCAGCGACTTCGTGTGCTTTGGACGTTCGACGCGCTTTAAACAGACATCAAATTCTTCAACTACAAAAAACAGAATCCACTTTGCACCGGTATTTACGCGCGCGCGTCTTATTGCAAACTATTTTAACTGCAAAAATATAAACTGCTATCCAGTTCCAGTTAATTTAACAGTGAATAATTAAGGCTTGTCTGCACTTGTTCTCGAGAGACCTGCGTGCGCCTTTTCTGCGTCAGTGTGTTTGTGTGTGAGTGTGTGTATCCTTACATCCTCGTTTCGCCCCCGCCACCGACGCCGTCGACGCCTTTGCATAGGGTGTGGTGTATCATACAAAATTCCAGCGCACTGTAATACAGTTTAAAAACCAAAAAAGAAAACAAAAAACATGTCTGTCTCCTCGAATGCATCCTCTGCCTCGCGCAACGGCAGCGTCGATGATAGCACAACAACAACAGCTACTACGGATAGCTCCGAGCTGGCGCACATTTTGAATAGGCGACAGGAGATCATGGACTCCCAGGAGGCTGGCATCGAGGTTCCCCGCACCTTTAAGGTGGTCAATGTCTACACCGAATTCCATGAATTTTCGCGCAAGCAAATCAAGGACTATCAAAAGACCTTCAATACGTAAGTTGATCCAAAAATAATTTAATTCCTATAGACTAAAATAATATCCTTCAAATTGATGTTTAAATGACTTAGTTAAATATTTAAAGTTAGGATTTTCCTATGGGCAATTACCAAGTTGATAATATATTTATTACGATTTGTATACAAGCCAAATCCATAAAACATCTTAAATTTCCTATCTAAGTCTATAGAGAAATTCAGGATTTTTGTTTGTTTATTTTTTATCATACCTATTTAGTTTTTATGCAATATATTTCATTTATAAGTAATTTTTAACGTATAAGTCCAGTTTCTAACCGACTGTTTATTTGTTAGTTAGGTATCTTTACTGAATAATATAACCTCAAATTTTTCAAAATTAGTATTTTTATACGATTTCTGTTGCTCAGTAAACAAATATTTTTGTGGAATTGAAGTGAATCTGAATTAGTAATACACATTTATGAGCTGATGTGTTACTCACCGTACAGGGTATAAATTAATCCCGTTTGCTTATTTGTTTACGTAAAGAAAAAGCCTATTCCAAAGCTCAACTCAATTTACAGCCTCGCAACTCACTTTGACACCTAGCAGCAGCTAGAAACAAAAAAGGCCAAACATTAAGCTAAAAACAAAAACAAAAAAACGTTTGCGGTTAATTGACAACTAAACTGCCTGACACTCGAGTTCTCCCCCAACCATACCAGTAGCTCAGTTTCAGCGCCCGTTTCAACCGCAACACCCCTCCCGAATGCAATGAAGCATGACTCACACCTTCACTGACTTTGTCACAGTCATTTGCACTCATCGTCGTTTAAAATTTCAATTCCGCGCCTCAGTTAAAGTGGGCGCACTGCCACTACTCAGAGGATTGAGCATTACATATTCAAATAAATTTGTTGTTTGCGGTTTTCTTGGGTTTTCAGTTGTCAGATATCAGTCAAGTAGCTAGAATTTTCCTGCCAAACTGGTATATGGGTTTCCTTATGATATTGTGTTTCATAATGATCTTTCGACTTTGACATATTCAAGATTTAGAATGCAGAGAGTATTAGGGAGTCCGTGTTTCTCGCTTCTCCAATGACGCGCTTTTTGCACAATCTTAGTTATTTTAATATCTTAAGTATGCTATATAAAGTATATAGAGTACATAAAGCTAGACAATCACTTGACACGTCGTATTTGATAACTTATCTCATAGTCAGAGCTCATCCGAATTTGACTTTTGCGCGCGCTGATTGCGCTTTGCATATTTAGGCACAAAAAAAAGTAAAATAAACAAAAACAAACAGCATGCCATATGCCCCTTCTCTCTCTTTCTGCTCTCGTTCACTCGTTTACTTCTCAGAACCTGCTGCTGATTCAGCGCTTTGAATCAGCTGCATGTCTCTAACCGGTGTTGCCAGAGTTGGAAAAGTGAAACTTATAGCTATATTTTGGATTTGAAACTAAATCTTTGACCAAAAAAAGCTGAAATGATCTCAAATACAGAAGTACACAATTCAAATTGCTATAAAATTGTGGGAAATAAAAAAGGCTAACCTTCCATTTTTCTCAAGAGCTCAAGGCTGTACATTTTAAATATGCTTTATTTACACAATCATTCAGATAAACGTTTCTGTAAATGATAATGGCTGTAGCTATAAAATGGCTATCACAGCAGCAGTGCTCAACAGCATGCAATGCACACACACACGCAGACTACCTGGTAATTAAATTGCTCTTGCAATTAACAGCTGGATTCTGTGTGTGTATGCTTTCCATTAACACATACAGCCAATTGGAGCACTGCAGCTAACTAGCTGTCAAAACAAAACTTTGAACAGGCAGCAGGTAGTGAAACATAACTCCTGTTTATCATACGCAGTATCCTATTTGAATTTGTTTGCCATGACTCACCGCTGAGGGCCAACTGGGTCAGTGCTTGGCCCATTGTCAAAACTGAAATAACTGAAATATTTGTAAGACGAGCCAAGAATTAAAACAAATAAACGAACGAACGAGCGAAAAAAAACGTGCCTTGGAAATGAAATCGGGCAGGGCTCCAAATGTAATTGACGCAGCTCCAGAATGTCTGCAGAAGACGCCATGTATAATATACATAATAATACATAAACAAAGGCCTTCAGGTATGAGCACAGTCTAATAGACAATAGAATAAAGAAGTTTGTGTAAGAATGCGAAATTTTATCTGAATTATACCAATTATATATGTATGTAACTATAGTATAGTCAGTTCGACTCATCGAATTACTGTGAGCGCCAACTGTAAAATTAAAATTTTTAGATTTTTGGGTATATAGATGATTTCGATTGTTTTTATACCATAGTGACGTTCAACTGAATAGGGAATATATCATATATTTGATGATAATTTGTTATACACGTGAATACATATGATTAGACATACATATATGTGCTATGTAGCAATAAATATTCATATTGATGATCTTCAATTTGCACCTGAGGCATAAGCTTAAATATTTTACTATAACTATTCAAAATATTTCTTAAATTTTATGTGCATTTCAATTATTAAACTGGTTTCAGTTGATCGAGCATTATATTCAATTCAAATTCTCTGAACTATCCCGGCAAAATGCCAATCCAAGTCTTCAGTTGATCTTTTAAAGCGATTTTTTTTTTTTTTTTTTTATATAAAGTTAAGCGAGCGACAATAACAAAAACAATAACCGGCTGTGGCTTATGCGCAGCGAGCTTCTGACATTTCCAGTTGGATAACCCAGCAGCTCCCCTCCGCTGTTATCAGATGATGTGCTAATTTTTTGTATGAAACTGGAAGAACGTCGTAAAAGCAAACAATACGGAAAAAACAATGCATAATCAAATAAAAATAAATAATATATACAAATGTTCTACTGAGTCATTTTGGTTTTGAAGAAAATTGTTTCTGATTCAGTTCTGAGATTAAACATAAACATATACCAAATATATAAACAAATGCAGGGTATCTTAATTTCCTAGAGCACGATAAGTCTCTGCGTGCGTGTGCACGACCCAATTGCGCATAAACGAATATGAATTTCTAATTGTTTATATATGGGTATATATTTTGAAGAGACCAGAAAATACCCCGCGAATAGTTGAGTGGAACTTGGAGCATTATTTTTTAGAGATGAAAAGTTTTGAATAAATATTCAAACATCATACGAAAATCTCCAGTAACTTATACGAATATAAATAAAATAATTATATGTATACCAGTTACATACACATGCATCGAATCAATACACCCCATCCCAACTCAACTTTCTCAATTAAGTACAGGGTATCCTAAAAATGAAGAGGAAATCTCATTTGCCCAGCTCTCAGCGCTAATCGGACACGCAATATGTAATGCATTTCTTATAGCGTCGTAATTATTTGTTGATATTGCTTGATTTTAGTTTCCGGGTCGTTTTTTATTTCTTTTTATTAAATACATACATTTTGGATGCGCCATTTTCCGCACGTTTTTCCGGAGCGAATGCGCAGACAAAGGCGATAAATGCCAGACGCTCGCAACTTAATGATATTGATTTAAATCTCTTTCCTCATGCATTTAATGGACACACATGCTCTCAAGGGTATGTCCATACATAAATCATTGGGCTTGTTGTCTAGTCGGCTGTCCGCCGCTGATAAGCCCACAAATCCGTAAGCCAAGTGGAGAATACCAACCACCGAGCCATGTTGACGCCTCTCACTTCTCGGTTTTGCATTGTTCAATTTGCATGTGGGCTTTGCATTTTAGCTTATTGCATTTTCAACTTGATTTCAGTTCAACCAGAAAAGCAACAAGAATCGAATCAGGGATGAGTAAATTTTAAAATTACAAAATTTCTGAAGCTTTTATTTAAGGTATTTTATTATCTATTAACTTTAATAGAATTTCGTATTTTTGTTTAAATTAAATTTTGGTGTCTTCTTTGTTAGATGGTCCACCTCTAAATAAATAATAAATATTTAGAATTTGTTAATTTAATGAAGTCCATAATAGTTTTAGCGATATATCGTTATGCTGTCCACCTCTAGCGTCGCTATCAATGCCAGGTCACTTGTGCTTACAAATTGGGTTCATGGCAAAATTTACACCACTACAGACCACACACATGCACAGTCGCAGAAGCGCACACATATATACTCACGCACACAGACATATAGGGAAATCAGTTACACGCACTTTACAATTGCTCGGGAGGGTTACTTGGTGGATAGACCCCACACGCACACTATGCTCATATCATGTCAACTACGGAGCGTGAGCTTTTAATTAAACCACACATTCACCACCCATTATCGCTGAAGCAGAAGAGAACGCCCTCCCGGAGGACAGAGTGCTTATGCAAAAAGAAAAAAATAAATAAAAGAAAGGGTTGTTATGTTGCACATTTTAGGCTAAACTGCAGCGCACTTCCTGTCTATGACGAACGAGCGGGTCAAAGGGCAGCATGCCGCACATAATATGTATATGCTATAGACATAACATATGTACATGCATACATACATACACACACACACACGCATATCTTGTGGCAGGTTCATTGACATTTGCAAATGTATTTGTCATTTTACATTTTGTGTTTACATTTTGCATTTCCACACCTTTGTTGTAGCTTCAGCATATCTGCTATTGACAACATTTTTGGCCAATCGATAGCACTGCATCGTCATTGTGAATGGTTTTTGCTTGTTGTGCTGATGCTGCCGTACTGGCGCTCACTGACCTTTGCCAAAATGTACCGCATAATTGCAATGCAGGCGACCAGCCGTCTGGCAACGTTCGCAGTGGTCAGCAGTGAGCGGAGAGCGGAGTGGAGCGTGGCTTATTGAGCACGCACGCCTGCGTCGCGACGATGTGTGCGTGTGCATTGTGCTTGCAATTGCCATTCATTGATTGACAGTGAGTAAGAGTAAATAAATAAAAAAAAAAAAAAGGCAGGCATATATGTACGCATGGTAAGTTTATTATCTGTGGCTAGTGGCAATGTCGTCGTGCCACTCAATTGCGGAAATAT